GAGAGCCCAGGTAGGCACAAAGCTGGGGTTTCTCTTTCTAAGACCTGTGGATGTTCCACAGTACAGTTGGGCCTGGAGGCCTGGGTGTCACAGACCAGTTGGAGTTCCAGAATCATTTTGGGGAACAAAATGTATTTGCAAATTAAAATATATTTTAAATTAGTTATCATACACCATTTCCACCTTTTCATAAGAAAAAAATGTTTTAACCAACATATAAGAAGAAAATAAGCAAAAAGAAAGAAAGAAAGAAAAACGCTTAAAGGATACTTCTTTAAATTGAAAATATTTGTAAAAATGTTTATACCTCCCTATGGACCAAGTAAAAACACTGTTGCAGACAGAACTGGGAACCATTACACTGGATTTTACATTTGTTTTAGATGTAAAACTTTCTCAGAGTGGTATCCATAACCAGATTTTAGATTGGCATCTTCTTACTGGTTGCTTTGTTAAAGTTATTTTCCATATGTCCTTGATGATGTGAATTTTTAAAAGTTTGAGTCACTAAAGAATTGCATGTGTGTATTTCACTTCACATTCCAGGGTAGGATTATATCCAGAGGCCAGGGAACCAGGATCTGAATTGGATCCTTATAGGTTTCAAAGCCTAATCAGGTCTCTTTAAGAGGAGCATACACTTTAAGGACAGTTCTCCAGAATGGCTTGGACTCTAAAGTTTTGTGAAATACCCTGGGTTGGGGAAGCCACTCTGGAAGATAGATGAGGCCATACCTGTTAAGGTGTTGTAGCTACACCTGTTCATGCAGTCTACAAACACTTGTTGATCCATACATGCTGACTTGGGCACATTTCTTTCCCTACAGCAAATGTCAGTATAGTCATACTCTAATTAGTGAGAGGTCAGAAAGCTGGTCATCGCACCTCACGTTGTGGTTTAAACTTCTGTAAGTCTGCATGCTGTGGGTGGGCTGGTTTTGAGAACAAAAGAAAGAAACCTGATCCCTGCGTGTTAGAACATGCCAAACCGCACAGAGGTTAAGATCCTGATTCTTGCCTCTTCACTTATTCTTTCCTTGGGTTTCTTTTCAGAGAGGCTGGGCTGGTAAAAATCAGTCTTCGCTTGGGCTCGGGTTTGAATCCTGAATTAGGCTGCATAAGCAGCTCTGGGCAGCCTTTCATGGCTTCCGTTTAAAGTTAGATTGGCGGGGGGCATTGGAGTGTTGCTTATTATAGGTGGATGTGGTGGGTTTCTCACCAGCAGTGTTCCTTGCTAAAAATCTTGAAAATGAGGTTAAATGAGATGTATCCTCTGGTACTTAAGACAAGAGCAGCTGGCTTCTGAGAGGCCGATTGGGATGACAGATCGAGGCTTACATAGAGACAAGTGAGGCCGGGTTTGTTGCTCTGCAAAGAAACGTTGATTCCAGTTTTTAAAGTTTTAGTTCAATAAGTGCTTCTACCTACATCACCACGAAAGCCTTGTCTGAGGGAGGTGGACCCAGGGATGAAAGGATCACAGATGGGCCGAGGGTGGTGGTCAGAGCCAGCCACAGCCCAGTGAATCCCTTTAGGAGTCCCTTCCTGAGTTTTAACAGTGAATACAGTAAATGGAAACCTCCATGCAAGATGTTTGCTACAGACAGGAGCATTTGGGGGCACGTGCATGTCTTTGAGGGCTTCTGGTGGGCTGATGTTTTACACAGTGAGTATCCTGTCCCCCAGAGATAGAAGAGTGGTGTTCTATTCCTGGCCTTGTCTGTTTGTCAGATGGTGTTTTTCGTAGAGATGCTCCAAATCAACTCTGGGTGAACTTCAGTCCCTTCAGAGTATGGGCTTAGGGTATAGACATCTCCAGTGGTGGCAAAGAAGTATCATTATGAACTCATGTGTATGTTTAATGTGCTGAATCAATGTTAGTTGTATATTTGTGACACATTATTATGAAAATGTCAAACATACAGGAAAGGTGATGCAGTTTTGCAGTGAACACCTTCCTGTGTCCATACCCTGGGTTCAGCCATTGACATTTGACTTAAGTTGTGTTTCGCGCATCTCTTCATCTGTCCTGTTCATCCTTCAGTCCACCTTATTTTTATTGAAATATAGTTAACATGATTGCTTTGTTTTTATGGTGCTTTTCAAAGTATCAGAAAATTGTAGTCTTTCCTCTAAATATTTACTGGAGTCCAGTATTTATTTACAGGTCTTTTTTTCTTTTGAAGTAAATGCACAGCTCTTGAGTGTATCATTCAGTGGGTTTTGCCCAGTGTATATCCCCAACAATATTACCAAGATGTAGACCATGACCATCACCCCAGAAAGCTCCCAGGACCCCTTCCCAGGTGTTCCCTACCACCATGCCCCAGAAGCAACCACTGATTAAGTTTGGCTGTTTTGCTGGATTCGAGACCTCCATACAGATGGAAGCATATTTTTATTTTTTATTTTTGGATATTCAGTTGCCCCAAAGGTAGCCAGTGGGAGCCTTCACAAGTCAGCTCCCTTGTCTTTTGGACAAGCCTACAGTAATCTCTGAGCACTTCCTTGCTTTCTGACACTGCAGTGTGGCCCAGGCTCACCCACCATAGTTTCTGTGTCAGGTGCCAAATCAGCCAGTTTCTCCAGAAGCTCCTTTTAGTAGGTTTTAGACTATCAGTCCTACAAAGCCCTGAACAAGAAGATCTTAGCCACCTGGGATCTCAGTTTAAACTCTTTGTTACTTTAAAGTCTCTACATCTGATATCTAGGGTGGAGAAAGAATGTAAGATGAAGAGATGGTAAGTGCACACTGATGCATTGGCTCCTGGCACCATGTTGGACTTGGTGGGAATGCATTTCTCCTTTATTTGGGGTGCACTAGTGGTCCTACCTGCTGTGTTCATCACTGTCCCTGCATCTAGCATGGGGGAAGTGCATGCCAAATACTTTTGAATAAATAAGTACAGTTTTAAACATCATCCTTCAATGTCAGATTGATGAAGTTTCAGTATAGATATGGCCAGAACTGGTGGCTCTTTAACATGAGTTCCTCACCATTCAGCTGTGACTTCTGATGGCCTGCTGCTTGCTGGTTTAGAATTGGTTTTCTGAGCTTTAGTTTAAATTTTAGATTACTTGTCATGGCTGCATTTCTGTAAGACTTCTTCCTATGCACTTAAAAACCGTATGGAAATTTTCAAACATGCACAAATGATCCTCACTATCCCCATCCCCCAGCTTCAACAGGTATCAGCATTTTGCAGTATTGGCTCATCCTTGTTCCCTTCTCCACTCCCTTGCCTCACTGGAGTATTTTAGAGCAAATACCAGGCATGTATTTTGAGCCATAAATTTATCTTAAATATGTAAAAGACATTCTTTTCCAACAAAACCACAATATCGTTTTGCTCCTAACTGGATAGAACAGTCATTCATTAGTACAGGATGTGTTTTGCATGAGCTTAGTCCTCACAACAGCCTGGTGATGTACATGTTGTTGGTAGTAGAAATCCATCCTGATTTTGAGGGTCTTTGGGATTTGCGCTACATGCTTTCTGTAGGTTGACTCATTTTATTTTCAGTCACTCTGAAGAGGTAGAAGGGTAGCTTCCGTGTTGCAGGTTAGAAGGAAGCTCCAAGGAACTTCAGGGACACATGGATTGTGGCTGAGCAGGCCGGGTTTCAGGCCACGTCTTTGCAAAAGCTCCCACTGGTGACTACTGTAAGTGGCTCAGCAAGGGCCCAGGCACATCCAGGAGCTGAGCCCAGGGACTGGTCCTCCACTTCTCCCTTTCCTCCCCCTCCCCTGTCACGAAGCATTTGCCCCCACCTGTTCTCTTGCCTGGCTCTGCAGGGGCATCGCCTCTGGTTCCACCGTTAGATTTTCAAGTTCTACTTTAAAACCTTTTAAGTTTCCAATTAGGTTGCTAGGTAGTCCTGAAGCATTGTGGAAATTTCTTGTTTGGGCCAGTCATGTCAAAGTTTATCTTTGAAGCCGATGCCTTTCCAGGATAAACCTACTGCCCTGGCTGGTAACTGGCTTGGATTGAAGGGGCTAGCTGTTACATGGTTAGATGGAACGGGTGGATCATCTGTCGCCTTTTATGCTACGGGGGTTTTTTGTTGTTTACTCGTTTGGAAGATTTCACTGTGGACCAGACTGTTTGCATAGAGTGGGAATTGAGTAGGTTGTAGTCAGCATGTTATTTAGAGTCCAAAATTGTAATTATAGCTGCGTTTGTCTTGAAGGCTTCTGTTGTGCATTTCAGTTGTCTCAGCCACTCCAGAGTTGAACCCATGGGTGTGTCCATGTGCTGCAGTGGCTGCATCCACCTGATGTTTCAGAAGGTTCTTGCCTTTCTAGTTTATAGACAGTTTTTTGGGCCCTCTGTTTCCTGCTTTCCTTCCATCTCTTCATGACTCTCAAGGACCAGAGCTTCTTCCCCCCTCTTTTTTTTTTTAACATTTTTTATTGATTTATAATCATTTTACAATGTTGTGTCAAATTCCAGTGTTCAGCACAATTTTTCAGTCATTCATGGACATATACACACTCATTGTCACATTTTTTTCTCTCTGAGTTATCATAACATTTTGTGTATATTTCCCTGTGCTGTACAGTGTAATCTTGTTTAACTATTCTACAATTTTGAAATCCCAGTCTGTTCCTTCCCATCCTCCACCCCCCTGGCAACCACAAGTCTGTATTCTCTGTCTGTGAGTCTATTTCTGTCCTGTATTTACGCTTTGTTTTTGTTTGTTTGTTTGTTTTTGTTTTTGTTTTTTAGATTCCACATATGAGCGATCTCATATGGTATTTTTCTTTCTCTTTCTGGCTTACTTCACTTAGAATGACATTCTCCAGGAGCATCCATGTTGCTGCAAATGGCATTATGTTGTCGGTTTTTCTTCCCCCTCTTTTCCTTCTTCAATCAGAAGATTTTGCTGAACATTCTTACCTGTACCATTTTGTATATATTCATAAAAATTGGCATACTTTATATGAAGAAATAGTGAAAGACAATTAAAAAGTAAAAATCATCTGAGTGGGGGCCTGAAGTTAAGACACGACTTCTAGAAACAAGCTGTTTTCATTTTTGGAGAATTTATAATTAGTTGTTTGTCCCTTGGCTTAGTGGTGGTTACTTGGAAATAAAAGATGTGTCCTGCTGTGTGAACAGATCTCCTTCCTGAGGCGGCACTGCTTTCATCCTGCTGAATATCTGACTGCTGAGATTCATCTGTCTATGAAGTATTTGAAACTAAAAAGATTTTCTGATCTTATAGATAGTTGAAGTATTGATAACACCAAGGAAATCTGTCACAGTTTGAAAACATAAGCAAAAATTTGATTTCCAGACACTACAGAAAAAAGAGTAACAATGGTAAGAAAGATTTTCTTCTTAATCAGATACTGTTTCTTCATTCATATACAAAGATGTTTGTTGAATTTCTTCAAAGCATTTGATTTTTTTTAAACAAGTATAGTTGATTTACAATACTATACTAGTTTCAGGTGTGCAACACTGACTTGATATTATTATAGATTATATTCCATATTATTATAAAATATTGGCTATATTCCTCACCCTGTAGATTACATCTCTGTAACTTATTTTGTATCTTTTAGCTTGTACTTCTTAATCCCCTTCACCTATCTTGCACCCCCACCATTTGATTCTGTAATCATTTTTATTAGACATTTTGATTTTTAATATAGTACATAGTGTAACAATTGAAATAATACAGAAATGTGTAGTTAGTGCCCTTTCCCTCCCATGGCCTAGAAAACGAACAACTGTTCTGTTTGGTTGTCCTTCTCAGATCTTCAGATATAGTTTTATTTTCAGTCATCTTCGTATGATTAATAAAGCACCATTCTTAATTGTAAAACTTAAAAGATAAGCATCGAGTTGCTTGCTCTCTCTGCATTGTTTTTAACTGAGTTTTTACATCTAGCGTCCAGTGCGAATTTTTGTGAATGATGATCGCCATGTGATGGCAAAGCATTCTTCCGTTTATCCAACACAAGAGGAGCTGGAGGCGGTCCAGAACATGGTTTCCCACACGGAGCGGGCTCTCAAAGCCGTGTCCGACTGGATCGATGAGCAGGAGAAAGGCAGCAGCGATCATGCCGAGTCCGAGAACGTGGACGTACCCCCAGAGGATGACAGCAAAGAAGGGGCCGGGTAAGTTGGGGGTTTTATTTTTCTTTAAGGAGACTGGCCAGTGTAGGGTTGAGCATCTCCTTTTCTAAGAAACTCCAGCATTTCCAGGGCCTCTGGGTTCTGGCCAGACTGAATCCTTCACTGAGCCTGTGTTGGGCTGTCCCTCAGGGAGCAGAAGACAGAGCACATGACCAGAACCCTGAGGGGCGTCATGCGTGTTGGCCTCGTGGCAAAGGGCCTGCTGCTCAAGGGGGACTTGGACCTGGAGCTGGTGCTGCTGTGTAAGGAGAAACCCACGACCACCCTCCTGGACAAGGTGGCTGACAACCTGGCCATTCAGCTTGCTGTGAGTGTCACTGCCTCCACTGAGGTGGGGGGAGCTCAGGAGGTGCTTGTTGAGGATGTGGGCAGAGGAAGAGGTATCCAACTGCTCTGTGCGCTAAGAGGCATGCTCCAGACCCACCTGCTGTGCTCACGCCTTCTCCATAAGCAGCAGGCAGGAGGCTGCAGAACCACCCAAAAGCTCTGGCTCAGGAAGGGCCCAGGCTGCACTGAGCGTGACCTTCACGCCCAGACTCCAGTGAGTGGGGGGGGTGTGGATGAGTAGATAGTACACTTACTAACTCTTCCTTCTTGATCCAAACCTGGACATTAAAAAAGCTTTTTAAAAACCAATTTGTCTCATTACAAAAGTATTACATAAATAGTAGCCTCTGACATTTCTTGAGCATTTACTACACCAGGTTCTAAGCCAGAGGTGCTCTTTACACGTATCATTTCATCATAATTACTCTCTGAGATAGGGCTTTATCATCTGAGTATTTTGGAAGATGTAACTGAGGTGCGGGGAGCTCAGTAATTGACCCCACATCCCAGCCTGGTGAGTCCTGGGGCTTTAGGACCTCTGAGTGTCACTGCCAGGCTCTGCCTCCTCGGGACACATTGACCTTGGATTTAGTGACAGAATAAACAAAAGAAGAAAGTGAAAACAAAAGTAAAAAGGATTTAGTGACAGAATAAACAAAAGAAGAAAGTGAAAACAAAAGTAAAAAATCTCGCTCCTTACATACAGTGTTCGTTTTCATGTGTAAACATACATTTTGTCTTATGTGACTGAGAATTTGGGGTTTAGGACAAGAGGTCAGAATCGAAATGTGAAACTAATACAATACAGTAGATACCCCTGGGGGCCTGTGCAGGTGAGTGAAGCGCTAAGCTTTTCTGTGTTTGTGGGAAGTCCGCTTTTAAAGTTAATCTTCCTGGTCTGTAAAATATATGAAGTGAAAAAAGTTTATGAAATATTTCTGAAGGAATGACAACTTTTGTGAAGAGTTAAGGAGACATAAATAAAGTGTATCATCAACTTAACATGTTTTGACTGGGTGATTTTGCACCTTAGGGGACAGCTGGCGAGTCTAGAGAGTTTTAGTTGTCACAGCAGCAGCGGGGGGGCAGTCCGGGTGCTAGTGGCATTGACTAGGTAGAGGCTGGAGATGCTGCTCGATGTCCTGCAAAGCACAGGACAAGCCCCACAACCAAGAGTGATCTGACCCAGAATGTCCATAGTGCCAAGGTGGAGAAATACCAATTTAAATTTTCCGAAGTGCCTTTGTCCTCCCTGTAGTGTTGATATTTACTTGTTTTCTTAACAAAAATCATAAAAGCTTGAATTTTCTCAATCAAGGCATATAAACTGGTATAAAAAAGTGAGCGTCACACAATTGTGAACATTCTTTTTAGACATACTCATTTGCAGCAAGTACATGCTTTTATACATATCATATGATTAAAGTATTTTATTCCACACAGTCTTCATTCCACGCTCTGTGATAGCTGCTCAGCCCAGGGTGGAAATGGCAGTGGCTGGGTGCCCTCTCTATGCTGGGTGCTGGGCTTTCCATGCAATATCTGGTTTAAGTGCCCTGCAGTCTTGTGTAGTTTTGTTAGTAAGTCTGTTTTACAAATTAGAAACCACAGTTTTAATGAGGTTAAGTGATTGGTCTAAAGATACACAACTACCAAGTAACAAAAGGAGGATTCACACCCTCATCTCCCCTCAGAGCCTGAACTCTTACAATTCGTGATACATCTTCCCATGAAAATCACTTTGCTCTGTAAGTAGTCCGTCACCTCCTGTCTGGGATATTTGGAAAATGGTCAGCAAGAGGGAGATTCTGAACCATAGCTAAGGACATTGTTATCAGTCACAGCCTAGGAAGTTGGCCTATCTCCTGTAGTAACCAGGAGCTAAACAGAACTGTGAGAAAGTGTGTGTGAGAGTTGCATTTTCTTTTGTAGGCTGTTACAGAAGACAAGTACGAAATACTCCAATCTGTCGATGATGCTGCGATTGTGATAAAAAACACAAAAGAGCCTCCATTGTCCCTGACCATCCACCTGACATCCCCTGTTGTCAGAGAAGAAATGGAGAAAGTATTAGCTGGAGGTAGGGAGGCTTAGAAAGGCCAGCAGGACTTTGGAAACTTGGTGTTCCCTCACTATTCAAATGTGCTATTCAGTTTTAGACTGCTTTGATAAAAGGATATAGCGGTGTAGCTCTGACCACCTTTACTTTGAGATCACATCTCCCATTCAGTTTCAGTACTGGGAGTTTGACAAAACACTGGCACTAAAAGTGAGTAGCACTTTTCCTAGAGGATTGCACCATTTTTGTTTGTCTTAATCTCTGGATGTTCTCATTGGTGTTAAATGTGTTTTTTCTGTTGAGCCGTTCGGCCTTGGAAAAGCGTGTCCCTGGTGATTTTAGGCTTTTTAAATTAGGGAAGACAACCAGATGGTTTCTGCATGAACATCACGTTGGACTTGTGTAAACAGCTTGTGTTGCAGCAGAACCGAGGGCTTCTTCGTTTGTCCTCTTCCATTGGCTGCTGTTAATCTGTCGCAGTGATCGAAAAGCAAAGAGCTGATGCAGAGTTTTGGATAAAGTTTTAAACAATTGAGTGATTTTTCAAACCAAATTTTGAACCTCAGACACTGACAGTGTTTTCACAAATCAAAGTCCACCCAGGGCCCCTCGTACATCTCTTCTGGGTGGCTGTTTTTCAGTCAACTCTCACACAGCCAGGTAAGGGCAACAGGCCTTATCCAAACCCCTGACACACACGTGATGGCAGAAACGACAAACACCCCGGCTTTGCTGCAGCACAGGCTCACACCCTTGTTGCTGTTCTTTGAGTGCCTTTGGTTCCATACCTGATTCCAACTACTAGAGCCCTTCTAGTTTATCAATGTAGGGACGCTGGACCTTTGACCAACAGGACTCTCTCTGTCAAGGGCTGGGGCTAGGGCAGTCCCGCCTGGTGGGCGGAGGTGGTCCCCTTTGCTGTAGACGCCTCAGGGGATGGCCTGTGGGAAGCAGAGAGGGAGTGCATTTCTACTCCCCCCATCTATTTTTTTTTTTGTTTTCTTTGTTTTTTATTTGGTTTTTTGGGGGGTTTTTTTGTTTTGTTTTTTGCTGGTTTTTTTGTTTTTTGTTTTTTTGTTTTTTTGTTTTTTGTTTTTGCTAATGGAATTTTTAGCATAGCTAATTTATTGGGAGATCCTGGGGAGGAAGCCAGGTAACTGCCTATTAGAAGATAGGATCCACCTATCTGTCCCCCTCCCCCACAGGATTATTCATTTTAGAGTAACTTCCCACTTTTGTTTTTGTTTTTGTTTTTTTGGAGGGGCCTCTGATTTTTACGATCTCCTCTCAGGGCGGAGTTAAACATGCTCTAGCGTCTCCTTCCCTGGTCAAGGGTGGAGATGACTTGAGATTCTGGGAGCCTCAGCTGCCCTTTAGGAAGCTGCCACATCCCCTTTCCACCTGACAGAAACCCCTTGGTCAAACTGTGCCTTGTCTTCTTATTCCATCCATGAATAGAAACGCTATCAGTCAACGATCCCCCGGACGTTCTGGACAGGCAGAAATGCCTTGCTGCCTTGGCGTCCCTCCGACACGCCAAGTGGTTCCAGGTTTGCATTTTGTTCTTCTATTTGTCTTTTGGTAGAGAATTCCTAAGTTTTAACTTGGCTAACTCACCATAAAGTTTCGGTAACATTGAAGATCACTGCGCTGCACTTAACACCTGCAGGCGTGCAGTTGCTAAAGAAGCGCGCATAGACAAATTTGACACCCCCAGAGGAGGCTTGTGACTGAGTAGATGGGGAGCTGCTGCTTTGTGTCAAGAGTAATGTTATTCTTCATGCGGTGAAGTCACTGCTGACCACACACTTGATGGTCGTGAATGTTCACTGTTTTACCCTTGACAAAGTAGCACCCTGAGACTTGTGTTTTTCATGTTTGCCTTGTGTTCAGGGAGGTGCTTTAGTGTAAAGAGCCTGTACTTTGTTCCTTTAGGCCAGAGCCAACGGGCTGAAGTCTTGTGTCATTGTCATCCGGGTCCTGAGGGACCTGTGCACCCGCGTGCCCACCTGGGGTCCCCTCAGAGGATGGGTAAGGCATCTTGTAGCTATGGCCACCGCAGGGTCATGTGTGCAGACCTCCCAGATCCCAAGAATGTGTTATGGTAACTGGGCTGGAGTGGCCCTTCGGGGTGTGGCTGATGTGTCCTGTCAGCAAGTACTGCGTGCGACACCCTGGGTGGGGGTGAATGTGCAACCGGGACCCCTGTGGAGGGTGAATATCTCAGCCTAGGTGGGAGCTGGCCAGGCAACACACTTACTGTGACAGGCTTCCCTCCACCAAGAGGCTTACAGCTACCCTTGAACGGGGGTCAGCAAACTGAGGCCCACAGGCCAATTTTGGCCATCTGCTTGCATTTCTACCGCTCCTAATTAAGAATGGTTTTATATTTTTAAATGGCTACACTTTAAAAGGGAGTACCTACATAAAAGCCTCGACTTTGCTTCTTGGTCCCACAGCCTGAGAGATTTAATGTCTGCTCTTTAAGGAAAAGTTGGTTGAGCCCCACTCTAGGAGGCCAGTCTTTGGCTTAGTCCCAAGTTCATGAACCTGGAGGGCCATGACTCCCCTTGAGCCTCTGACACATCCGCACACACGTTTTCAGCACCAGTATCAGCCAACTCCCTCTTGGACACTGGCTAACTGTCCCTCTTGCCTTTCAGCCCCTCGAGCTTCTCTGTGAGAAGTCCATTGGCACAGCCAACAGACCAATGGGTGCCGGCGAGGCCCTGCGAAGAGTGCTGGAATGCCTGGCGTCAGGCATCGTGATGCCAGGTTGGGGCCTTGTGCTTTGCAAGTTGTAGGGAAAAGACAGGGATTGAGGCCCTGAAGCCATGTCCTGGCGGGTCCCCTGACCGGGTTAGGGCAGCAGCAGCCCCGTGTCCCCCTAGGGATGGAGCATGTGACTACCCTCTTGCACCATCATATCCAGCCCTGTGGCGGCTCCGCAGCTGTGACTCAGGGCGGATCCGGGGCAGTGGTGACCCACTCCCACGCGAGCTCCTTGCTCTGAGACACGTGGATTATTTCTCTCAAGGGCTGGATGCTGAGTGGGTCACCGAGCTCGGTGTGTTTTCCAGAGCTGGGTGTGGATGGGGCGTGGGGGGTAACGCACTTGGATCCCTCAGCCAGCACAACTCTTCCGAGATGCTAAAAGATAATCCTCTGCATATCTTCCTTGTTTCCTGCCTTCAGATGGTTCTGGCATTTATGACCCTTGTGAAAAAGAAGCCACTGATGCTATTGGGCATCTAGACAGACAGCAACGGGAAGATATCACACAGAGTGCGCAGGTATAGTCATCGCCATTGCCAACGTGAGCCCTACCCAGTCTGTAATCACTGGCTTCCAGTTCCATTACTGGGTATTCTCAGGGTAGCCACTGGACTTGTAGGTTCAGGTCGGGGATTGAAGGTGAAGGGACTGTGCCTGATACAGGGCGCCCCAATCTGGGCTGCTTCTTTCCCCTGGCGCCACGCGTGGTTATCACCTGCCCCCTCATCCTGCTCGAGTGCTGTTTTCAGGCACTGAGTTCAGTGGGGAGATGTATTTGCTGTGCGGACTGCTTCAAGGGTCCTCCCCTTGCAGGCCCACCACGTGGCTCCGTGTGGCAACCAGTCCCCAGGTTGGGGTCTCCTGTATTCCTCTCGAGGGGGGTGGTCACAGGCTGGCCTTCCCCCACAGCAAGGCTGGGCCCTGGCTGTCAGGCCCTCCCCTGGCTGTTGGGGGACCCCTTGCTGCTATAGGGGAGACCATTAGCAACTCCCTCAGCTCCCACCCCTTCCAGAAGGCATTAGTAAGCGCACACAGGTTGGCTGGGGACGCAGAGCGGCTGAGTCAAATTCCTCTTCCCCTTCTCCAGCACGCTCTGCGACTTGCTGCGTTTGGCCAGCTCCATAAAGTCCTGGGTATGGACCCTCTGCCTTCTAAGATGCCCAAGAAACCAAAGAATGAAAACCCAGTGGACTACATAGGTAAGCATGCTGTGGGCCATGCCCAGGTGAGCCGTGTCATTGTGGATGCCCAGTAGAGGCCAGACTCGATTCTCAGCTGCTTCTATCATGATCTCCTTTCAGTTCAAATACCCCCCAGTACCACCTATGCCATTACGCCCATGAAACGCCCAATGGAGGAAGATGGGGAGGAAAAGTCTCCCAGCAAAAAGAAGAAGAAGATTCAGAAGAAAGGTACAAGCATTCATTCATAGTCCTTTTAGTTTTAGCCTCCATCTGGCTTCAATTAAGGTTCACCCCAGAGTGGTGAGATGCCTGCTTTTGCATTCATTTTCTCAGACGTGGTATTTAAGTCCTTTTAAAAATGATTAAATATAACTTGGGTACAGGACACAAGTAGGGTGGATGTGCGTCAGCTGGTGACCGCAGGCTGCTGTGTGCCTGGGAGCTGTGCAGGCAGGACCTGGGCCCATGTGGCTGCCGTCTGCTGCCTGCTCTTCCACGTCATGCAGCAGGGGCCCGTCAAAAGTTCCCCCTCCTGGGCTCAGAATTGACTGACTTTCCAGAACAATGCTGTGCTCTCTCTGCAGAGGAGAAGGCAGAGCCTCCCCAAGCTATGAACGCCCTGATGAGACTGAACCAGCTAAAGCCAGGGCTGCAGTACAAACTGGTTTCCCAGACTGGCCCAGTCCATGCCCCCATCTTCACCATGTCTGTGGAGGTAGACGGCAACTCATTCGAGGCCTCTGGACCGTCCAAAAAGACTGCCAAGCTGCATGTGGCTGTTAAGGTGAGTGTGGCCGGCAGCGATGTGCAACGTGTTCCTGTCCCCCACACAGCGAGACGTGGCCTTGGTTTTGGGCCCCTGTAGAGCCATCATTCCCTATTTAGGTCCTGGGTGTGGCCAGCACAGGGCTTAGGGTGTTTGAACACTGATAGATAGTTAGATTCTGAGCGATGGCCAGTCACATGTGGCAAGAATGCCATCATCACTGACTGAGAGGCAACATGGTCCCCAAATGTGGCTGGGCACCAGGGTCTCCTTCAGGATCCTGGGTTCAGAAGGGGACCTGTGTGGGTGAGCCCTTCCTCACCAGGGGCTCTGTGGATCTTCCTTCTGTAGGTGTTACAGGACATGGGCTTGCCCACGGGTGCCGAAGGCAGAGACTCCAGCAAGGGAGAGGACTCAGCCGAGGAGACGGAGGCAAAGCCGGCCGTGGTGGCCCCTCCACCTGTGGTGGAAGCTGTCTCCACCCCCAGCGCTGCCTTCCCCTCGGACCCCACTGCCGAGGTGAGCACGTGGTGGGTACTGGACTGAGCAACAGGAAGGAGCAGGCAGCCCTGTGTGCCATGAGCCAGGATGGTTACTGATTCTTGTTGATTTCCCCGAAGAGAGTAGCCTTCTAGTCCAGGAGCCTGGGGAGGGAGTTGGGTGTGAGCCATTGAGCCATGACTGAGAGGGCCTTGCTGTGTTGACCTCATGTCTGGGGCTACACTGAGGTAGCCCTCAGTGAAGGACATGGTGTTTGCCCAAGAGATGGGGTGTGGGTGGAGGTGGTCCCACTGCTGGGAAGGCCACAGATGACTTCTGGAGATCAGAGTGGTGAGGGGGACAGCAGAGTAAATGGAGCAGGGGCTTCCCCCACATGCTGGAAAGCCCTTAGCTGAGTTTGTTGGTTTTCTTTTCTGTTTTCCCTGAGAACGTAAAACAGCAAGGGCCGATCCTGACCAAGCACGGCAAGAACCCTGTTATGGAGCTTAATGAGAAGAGGCGTGGCCTCAAGTACGAGCTCATCTCAGAGACAGGGGGCAGTCATGACAAGCGCTTCGTCATGGAGGTGAGTGGTTCCTTCCCATGGAAAGTCCTGTCCCAAGGGAAGCATTGTCACTGCCAACACGCATCTGTTTTCCCCAGGTTGAGGTGGACGGACAGAAGTTTCAAGGTGCTGGCTCAAACAAAAAGGTGGCCAAAGCGTATGCCGCCCTTGCTGCACTAGAAAAACTGTTCCCTGATGCCCCTCTTGCCCTTGAGGCCAACAAGAAGAAGAGAGCCCCTGTGCCTGTGAGAGGTGGACCGAAATTTGCTGCTAAGGTGAGCGGTCACCCCTGAGATCTCTGGCCTTGGCATGTATTTGCTGGTGATTTGAGTGGGAGGTGAATGTAACCTGTGTGTCTTCTCTCCCGTCCAGCCACATAACCCTGGGTTCGGCATGGGGGGCCCCATGCACAATGAGGTGCCTCCGCCCCCCAACCTTCGAGGCCGGGGCAGAGGAGGGAACATCCGCAGTCGAGGGAGAGGGAGAGGATTTGGTGGTGCCAACCATGGAGGCTACATGAATGCTGGTGAGGACCCTTGTCTTGAGTGTCCCTGTGGGCCAGGCCTGCTCCCTGGGGTGCGTGGGCCCCTGGGGTCGGCTGAGATGCCTGAAGAATCCGGGGCCCGGCAGACCAGCCTCCCCACCTGGTGAACCCTGTCTGTTCCCTTCCAGGCGCCGGGTACGGCAGCTACGGGTATGGAGGCAACTCGGCGACCGCCGGCTACAGTAAGTGTGTGTTTCTCTTTGTCTGAGCTTGGGAAGAAGCAGCAGCTTAGCTCCTGTGGCCTGAGTTAGAGCAGGGCGGCCACTTCAGCAGCCTCCCTGAGGCTGAAGGGCGGCTCACAGCTGTTCTCAGTGGTTAGGTCAGGCGGTCCTGCATCGCCCCCGTCCTGCAAAAGCGTAGTTTACTCTTTAAATGTTAACACACGCTTGTGTGACTTGAAAGTTTGTTAAAAGTCAAAATTTTAAATTTCTCTGCTTTAAGCCATGCGAAGCACCAATCCTGTGAATATGCTTTTCTGACAGTGCACAGCTCTTGTCTTGAGAAGGAGCCTTCATTGGGGGGTTACAGGAGCAGAGAAATCTAAAACATGAATTTCAAATGTGGCGCTCTGTGCCATTTTTCGAAAGAATTCTAATTTTTTTTCTCTGCTCTGTCTCCCCCTTTTGTAGGTGACTTTTTCACAGACTGCTACGGCTATCATGATTTTGGGTCTTCCTAGAGCATCTAAAAGTATTGCACACAAAATCAACTTTTTACTCCAATTTTCTCGAACTCCAAAACCCAAAGTGTCCGTGCTGTGCCCTGTGCTTCACTGGGTTTCTCAACCGTGGCTTGTCACCGCAGCTTGTCTGAAACTCTTAGCCTGCAGAATTTAAGACAATGGCAGTTTTTACCGTGATTTGCCTTTGAACTTGGTCATATTGAAGTTCACAATAAGTGGAAAACAATTTTCTGAGAATGCGTTTTTGTGCAGAATTGCACAGAATTCTAGAGCCAGCGTTGGTCAGCATCAAGGCAAAAGCCCACCATTGCTTTTTATGGAAAGCATTACTTTATTTAAGAGACAGATAATAATGCATTTTAATCTACCTTTGTCTTAATTTACAGCAGGTTTTGTATGAATTTTTAACCTTTTAACATATTCCCAAATCTGATTGATGCCTTTGACAGTAACGATTTCACCACATCTGAATCCAGAGCAGCTAGCCTTTTTTTAAAAAGCATGTAAAACGTTGGAAACCTTGGGGAATTGTATATTGTGCTAAGTTAACCTCTTCCGCCTCTTGTAAATGCTCTGGTGGGTTCTTGTTCGGGGATGCGATGTTCTGTGGCTGCTTTAGCTAGAGGTGAACTCTCAAAGGTATCAAAACTGTGCTTCCATCGTTAACTGCAAGAAACAGACAGGCTTTAAGGAAGAGAGAACGTGGAATTTTGCAAGTCCTAATCACAGCTGCAAATGCATGGGATTCTAGAGGGGTTTTTCTTTTTCCTTTTTTTTTTCCTAAATGGGGTTTACACATAATTAAGCAGAAGGAGCCTGATACTTAGGGCAATTCCCCGGTGAAGAGCCGAGCCTCAGCGGAGCTTGTGCTGCTAGGCATATGGCCGAAGCAGATTCCAGAAGGCTGGAAAACTACTGCCCTCTCACCTTAGGGTACACACTTGAGTTGTGGCCTCTCCCTGTGTGTAGAGAGGCACACGGAGGCATTTTGGCTCTTTGAGACCCCCATTTCCTGGCGGCAGCTCCCCTTGGGAGTGAGTGTAGTTTGGGCTTTGGTTAGCAGTTCTTTTTGCAGCAAAGCCTGCGTCTGTGTTGACTTGCAAGATTTGCGTTTATTCAGGCAAAAAAAACTGGTCAAAACGGTTACTGCATAATTTGTTCCCAGGGGTTTGAAACATTCAGTGAAACTTTTTAAAACTTGGATTGCATGATGTATTTTTTTTTTTAGAAAGTTACTGTTTGAGAATAATGTCTTTTTATACCAGGAAATAGTTATCCTGAAATGACGTTAAAAACTTCCCCTCCCCGTTATTTTTTTTTAAATCAATACATGTTAAAGTAACAAGCCCTCAATACTTGGCGTCTTCATTCATTCCTGTGCAGGCTGCGGGGCAGCAGAGGTGGCAGGGTTCTGAGGAGGGGGTCTGAAGGGGACGTCCTGTCCTCCAGCCTTCTCTCCGAGCCCTCGCATGTTTGCTCCCTTGTGTTGTGGGACACATCCTTCCCCTTGGTGTTTTGCCTTTGTGAGTTGAGCAGTGGGCTGGGGGGTGGGGGTGAGGGGTCTGGAGAAAATTAACTGATGTCAGAGATCAGTTCTATCCAAATTATTTTTCAAACCGCCCAAAAGCACAACGGTGTGGGGTGTACATCTCCAGCGGGTGGAAGGCCCTTGAGGATTCCCAAATTAACCCTATCCTAAAGGCAGGAGACCATTGGTGTTAAATATGGGAAGGGCAGATGGGCTGTACGGGGGTGTCCCCATCCCCTGCCCTTTCCCTGGGCATAGTGGTCGGACCAGGCACCAGCCCCCACTGTGGTAGGGGCAGCACCAACCAGCAAAGGTGTGCCCAGGCCCACCTGCTCCAGGAACCCAAGGAGCTCCGCTGCCCCTGCGTGAACACTGGGGAGTACCCGACTGGGCCAGAGCGCCGGCATGTGACCCGTCCTCTTTCTCCCCCCTTGCCTTAGCTGACCCATCCCCCGTCGGTCCATCTGGTGGGGGCGGTGTGTTAACAAACCTGTTTCTGGGGTACCAGAGGAGGGGGGTACCCACTGTGACATTTTCGGCTCCAGGGCCTGAGAATGTGGCATCCTCACTGCACGCTTGTCAGTCCTGCTGCTCAGTCCCGCCTGTGCCCGGCAGCTGTGCTGGGAACAAGAAGGGGCCCTCTGGAGGGCCACCTAAGGCAGTACCTTGAGGCCCCCGCCTGGGTGTTCAGATCCCAGCCTTAGTCTCCTTTCCCCGCGAGGCTCTGGAATCACTGCTTAAATTAAGTGTTTGTGCAGTCACAGCAGAGAGATGCCCAAGTCATTTGGCTGAGTCTCCATTTGCTCCTCCCAGAACCAAGTCAGACTGTTTGGTTTTCTTGGAATGAAAACATTGGTATTAGGGGCATCATTAAAGAGCATCTCCTGGGTTCACCCAGGCCTGTGAGTGCAGAGCCTCTTCCCAGCACAGCAGCGGGGAGGTGGCGGTGGCCAGCTGCTTCTCTGGGGCTTTGCTTTTCATGTCACCGTTGGGGACTTCTGGGTAGCAGCCAGCTAGTGGCGAATGTCATCGCTCTCGGAGCCCATGTCATTGTGATGTTGACATCCACTGCAAAAGCTGCTGTCGTGCCGCTGCTTGGCAAAGATCCATTGTTGTCATCAGCCAATGGGTGAGTCGAGCTGAAGGCTGGGCCAGCCCATACCAGGCTGTTTGAAGGACCAGAGCCACTGCTCTCGTGTTCCAGCCTCTTTCCCTCTGTCCAGCCTGGGCAGTGGGCTTGTGGGTCAGCCTTCAGGGCCCACAGCTGCTACCTTCCCTCTCCTTCCCCTCCCCCATCCCCCCAATCCTGCGCCTGATCCACTGCCTTCCTGTTTAGGTCAGTTCTACAGCAACGGAGGGCATTCTGGCAATGCCGGTGGTGGCGGCGGCGGGGGAGGTGGTGGCTCTTCTGGCTACGGCTCCTACTACCAAGGTGACAACTACAACTCACCGGTGCCCCCGAAACATGCTGGGAAGAAGCAGCCGCACGGGGGCCAGCAGAAGCCCTCCTACGGCTCAGGCTACCAGTCTCACCAAGGCCAGCAGCAGTCCTACAACCAGAGCCAATATGGCAACTACGGCCCCCCGCAGGGCAAGCAGAAAGGCTATAATCATGGACAAGGCAACTACTCCTCCTACTCAAACTCCTACAGCTCCCCCGGAGGTGGGGGCGGATCAGACTACAGCTACGAGAGCAAATTCAGTGAGTTGGCTTCCAGAGCCCCCTGGCCTGGCCGGGGTCCGGGCCGGCGGCGCATCCCGTGAAGTGGCAGAAGCTCAGCACTGCCCCGACCTGTGTTTGAGGGACTGGAATAATGTCAGGCGGTGCTGGCTGCAGGGCAGGCCTTAGGAAAATCCTGGAGACAGAGTCACCCCAGCCCAGGTCTTTGCGGTTCCTCCCTGTTGCCTTCTCCAAGGTCCTGGAGGCAGTGGGCTGAGGCTGGGGCCCAAGGGTAGATGGAGCCTGTGAGCCCCGGCTAGCCACTGCAAGATCACCTCCAGAGATGGGGTCTGGAGAAGTGTTGCACCCAGCCCCTAGCAGATCCTGAATTACTTACTGCCCTCTCCACCCCTCCTTCCACCTCATGCACAGACCCAGTGGGCTGTGGCTATGTTGGTGGCCCGGCTCGGGGCGCATGAGTGTGCGCTCTTCCTGACGGGACAGTTGTTCTGTCTGTGCTGGGCCGGGCAGGGGGCGCCGGGTGGGAGAGGAGAGGTTGGAGGAACAGGTGGGAAGGCAGGATGGAACTGGGCTCCAGAATGTGGTGACGTTGCAGGGCTTCATGGCCTCTGGCACTTTGGTTGGACAGAGGTGTGTCAGATTTAAGCAGTCAAGGCAGGGAGATCTGCCAAGGACCTGCCGCTTCCAGGGCCGCACACGAGGAACCTAGACCGCCTCAGCTGTGTCTTGGTCAAGGCTCCTTAACTGCGCTGTCTTCTCTCCCCCAGACTACAGTGGGAGTGGAGGCCGGAGCGGCGGGAACAGCTACGGCTCAGGCGGGTCGTCCTACAACCCAGGGTCACACGGGGGCTACGGCGGAGGTTCTGGGGGCGGCTCCTCATACCAAGGCAAACAAGGTGGGCCTGGGGCAGTAGGCCGCTCTGCAGGGGGACCTGAGTCAGCAGGGGCCACACGGATTCCATAGAAAGGGTGTGGCCTGGGGTGGGCAGATAGCAGCACAGGCGGGGCCGCTGGAGCAGCTGCCGCTCGGCTTCCAGGTGGGTAAGAACAGGGAGTGGGAGATGCAGGACCCTGTGAGAACATGGGCTCAGACACGCTTCTAATCTTGGGTTCTTCCCTGAGCCAGACATCCAGAAACTGCTCTGCTCTTAAACATTGGCACCAGCGTGAAAACAGCAGCGAGGGCCAAGCAGAGCCTGATTTGGGGCTCTGGTTTGGGGCAGCGTGCTCAGCCTTGTGTCAGGCCGCCCCCTGTTACAGTTCTGGGACTGCAGATCCCCACCTCTCATAAACCCAGGTTTGACAGTCCTGCCTCGCAGGGCTCTTGTGACAGCTAGACCCAGTGACGCTGGAAAGGCACTTGGCAGGACAGAGTGGAGTCTGCTCAGCTGCCCTGCTGCGATCTCGCTGTGAGATTCGGCTGAGGTTGTTGGCTGGCGTCCTGCCTTCTGACTGGGGCAGGCCTGTGCCCCTCACCTCTAACCCACCCCTCTCTCCCTTAGGAGGCTACTCGTCACAGTCGAACTACAACTCCCCGGGGTCCGGCCAGAATTACAGCGGCCCTCCCAGCTCCTACCAGTCATCACAAGGGGGCTACGGCAGAAATGCAGATCACAGCATGAACTACCAGTACAGATAAAGCCCCTGAGGGGTGAAGATTTGTACCTTCTGCACTTACCCCCCGTTGTAAGATTCAGTTTATTCATCACAGTTAACATGTCAACTGGCCCCTCCAGGCCCCCGCCGCCCCACCCTGTCCACGTTGCTGTGTTGTGAGGTGCAGCTGGTCACTCCTGTGACCCGTCCTGTGACCCATATTTAGCTGTGTTTGGGACTCTGTGTCTTCAGTGGTTTGTTAGTTGCCATTACGACTTTTGTCTGAATAGTTTTTTCAGTTTCCGCAGTTAAGTATCCCTCTGTCTATTTACAATTGGTGTTAGTGTTAACTCAGTTTATCTTTAAATAGTTACAGAAGGGATACGTTATCTGTTAATGCTTTTGTGAAGTGAGTTAAACGAGCTTTCTGTATTTTAATGCTTTAGTGTTTCAGTTTTATAAGTGAAAATTTTATTTTAAAAACCAATGGGGAAGAGTGAGGTTTTTTTTTGTTGTTTTGTTTTGTTTTGTGTTTTGTATGTCTGGATCATTCAGGCAGTACATCTGAATTAAGCTGAATGTAGACAAATAAAGAAAACAAAACTCCGCGCCGGTCGTAGGCCTGGGTGTCTGGCCCACCAGCAGCGGGATGGGCAGGTTCCTCCACTCTGTTCCCAGCACAGGAAAGTGGGGCGGGGGCAGCAGGGCAGTCCCTGGTCACCAGAGAAGGTCCAGTTCTAGGCCTCTAGACACCTTCACTCCTAGTGGCTTGGGCCAGAAATCCAGTTAACTGGGAGCTTGTCACCTCATGTGCCAGCTATCCCGACGGACTGTGGAGCTGCCTGCGGAGGCCCACACTGCTTTGGCGGGTTTGCTCACACAATTCAGCATGCTTTTTGTTTTCTGCTCCATAAATTCTGGTATAGTTTTAAGCGCAGTTTCAAGACACTGTGGAATAAAGGTTTGGTCAGTTTTGTTCCACTTAACCCAATTTGAAAAACCCCAGTTGAATCTGGCTGAACGACCCCAAGGTCTGGGAAATTAGCCACAGGACCATCTTAGCCGGGATGGCACTTTGTGTCTGCAGTGGCCACAGCCTTTTCCCTGGTACTGCCCCCACCCCACCCCACCCCCGCACAAGTGTGTTCTGCACAGTGCACTGTTGGGGTTCTTTTCAGTGGCTCAGCCCTGTTCTCACAGGTTTCTCTGGAGGAGTGCTTCTTGATCCTGGGCAATTTTGCAGTGGTTGAGTGACATTTGTCACCTAGTGGGTAGAGGCCAAGGATGGTACTGAACTTTCTACACTTAAATATAAGCAGTGCACAGGTGGAGGAACCCACCCCCAAAGCAACCCTTCTCGGTTCTGGCTTTGCCTCAGGGAGAGAGTCAGGACAGTGTGTGGATTGGCCTTACCCAGGTTCCAACTCCACCTGCCTGGAAAGAGCCCTGCGGTGAGGCCTGGGGCTGCATCTCAGCAGGGACCCATCTTGTCTCTTCACCTGCTCAGCAGGCGCTGTTCAAGGTCTGGGTTCCAGGGCTTGGTAACCATGGCCACTGAGAGAAGTGCAAACTATTGACTGAGAATCACTCAGTTGAGGCAGAAAGTCCAGTGTCCCTTCAAAGGATGAAGATTTGCCTTGGGGGAGGTGAAAGGAAAGTGTTCGGCACCCAAGGAAAACATTCAAGGAGTTTTGCTTCCTGCTGGAGTCGGGGAGACCTCAATACCAAATCTCCCAGCTTGGGGATCGGGGCGCATGGTGCAGACGTTCAGGTGGACCTGAATTCCCGTAGGACCCGTCAAGTGTGTGTATTAGTGGAGACGAGACAGACCTGACGGATGGCTTCCAACCTCAACTCCTCTCCCAGACATGTCCAAGGTCTGGGACAAAGAGACCTACACAAAATCATTTGGACCTTGTGTTTGAGGTGAGGGGATGAAGACTGGATGGAAGCAGTGTCACTGAGAAATCCATTGGGAGGAACACCTTGGCACCACCTGTCAAATGCCTGCAGCTCTGGATGTGCATCCTCAGTGCAGTTTCACTGTTGGTTTTCCAGGCAGGAACCACCACTACCACATTCAAATTTCTGAATGCAGACCAGCACAAGGGAAGGAATCTCAAGGTCAAAGAAGGCAGTGGGAAAAGCTGTCTCCGGTCACCTTGGTGTAGTGACAAGTCCACACAGCCAGGACTTGGTGCCATGTTCCTCTGTTGTGGCGAAGGGCAGGGCGGCTTGTCTCTGATGGATGCCTGAGTTTCTCCCATGACCAGGACAAATTTATTGCCAAAAACAGCACTACCTGAGGAGCAAGCAGGATCTTGCTTTGTCTAGCTTCACATGGTTCCAGGTGTCCTTTGGCTTGTGGGAGCACCACTCTAATCTCTGCTTCCATCTTCACATGACCTCCCTTTGAGTGTGTCTCAGATCCCCTTCCTTACATAAGGACATTAGTCATCAGATCTGGGGTCCACCTTCATCAATGATGCACTCATCCCAAGATCCTTAAATACCTCTACAGCGGTATATTTCCAAATAAAGTCATGGTCACAGATACCAGCGATTAGGAGTTGGACATAACACTTCTGGGGGACAACATTCAACCCAATACAAGGTTGGGTGAAGGTTTCACCCCCATTACTGCTAGCACAGCCCTAGGAGTTTGTTTGCCACCGTCAGGATTACAGTAGTCAGATCTGGACAGCATGGAGTCAGCAGCATCTTTGCAGCATGGTGGGTACCAGTCCTGAGAAGACAGCTCATGACCACAGATCCTTTGGCACCGTAACTCTGCTCAGGGTCTTCAGTGGTGGTGAGGCAGCTGGCCAATGACAGCATTCCAACCCTTAGGACCTGCCACTGCAGGGAGCTGGGTTGAGGAAGATGAGGTTGACACCTTGAGCACGGAGAAGAGCTTGCTGCTGGTGTGTCACCCATTCGAAGCTGGTTAAGGCCATCCCAGGCCTGTTGTCCTCCAAGCCCAGGAAGCCAGCCTGGCAGAGCTGCTTCTCCAGCTCCTCCTCATCCAGGACCATGGAAGGCAATAGCTGGCCTATGATGGAGAGATGTCTTGGCCCACATGTTGCTGGAGGATGATGTCATGCATCCTTCAGTCACCAACAGAGAGCACCAGGAGCACCAGCAGGAAGCATCAGTGTCCCACACACTCGGCAAGTTGATCAGGATAGGGTACTTGGTGGATAGGTCATGGGTATCAATGACTCAGGAATGGAGACCACCCTGGAGGGCTCAGGATGCCTTTGGAGGAAAGGTAGAAAAAGCACATGACTGACAGATCACAGTGGGCTAAGATAATGTCACAGGGAGGGATAGGGCCTTGCAAGGAATTGGAACTGATTCCAGTGGGGAGTGATTGGGGGTTAGTGACCTGGGACCAAAGGAGGCTTCTGAGCAGTAATACGGGAGACAAATCCAGGATTTCCACCTCTCTAGATTTAGAGGAGTCACTGGGGCCCTGATTGTTCCTCTAGGCTGGTGTGCACCCTGACCTCAAGTTACCACCCAGCTGACTGATTACCCCCTGCCCTGGCTGGGAAACATTTGCTCTCCCTCTGACCATTGGCCATTCTTTATCTAGTAGCAGAGCTTGCCCTGCCTCTAAGGACCCAGGCCTGGACCTCTGCAGCTGGGCCGTCCAGCCTCAGGATTCAGTGTCCATGTGTGAGCCCAACTCTGGCCATTCTTTCCCTCTGTAAACCTGTTCTGAGACCTCTGGACACAATTTTGGGCAACAATGCAGCAAGCTTTTTTGGCTCGGATGCTCATTCTAACCCATCGTGGAATAAATGGAAACTTCATGTGTGTGTTTGTTTCATTCACTCTACATGGATTTATTGGCCGTTATGTATCAGTCCTGTACTAGGCACTGGGAATACGGCAGTTACCCTGGTCCCAGCCCTTATGGAGCTTCCAGGCACCAAGAGGGCCCTGTCCCAACTAGGGGGGGGGGTGGTGTCAGGGAAGGCATTCTGTGTCTCAAGCGAGACACTACTGTTGAATTGGGACCTAAAGATGTGCTGAGGTAGGTGAGCAAAGGATATGCCATGCTGAGGGAACAGCATGTACAAAAATGCTACTGGGTAGTGGGAAAGAACTTAAGGTTGCTGAAGTCAGATGGGTGAGGCATTTGGTTGCAAAAAGGAAAAAGTATTGCTTGATGTCAGCCAGGAGCCGCCTGGCGCTGGGCCGTGGCAGGCAAGCAGAGGAGTTCTTTATCCTGAGAGCAGTGGGGATCTCCAAAAAGATTCTGAGCTGGGAAGAACCCAGGCAGAGTGGTGCTTTAGAACAATCAAAAACAAGGTGTGTGGGAGAGGTTAGAATGAAGACTGGGAGACAAGCAAAGAGTTCTGAAATATCTGAGCTGAGTTTCAGAGTGATTTTGTGGCAAAGTCCCCTGAACTTGGTGAGAGACCAATTTTCAGGCCCAAGAGGGGTTAAAGCTACATATCCCAGACAGCTGACTGGGACCAAGAAAGACACATTACTTTGCCCAAGATACGGGATGGAGAGGGGTCCAGACTCACTAGCTCTCAGCTCTGCTGTGGGGAGACAAGGAGGAACGTTTAGAGAGTTGCCGCGGGGGTCGTTTAACAGAGAGCGCCAAGTCTTGGGGCCCTAGCCTTCGCAGTGTCTCCCAAAAAAGCTAGCCTTTGGCACCAGGTCTATGGAGGGCAAGAATATCACAGGACAGCTTCCACCCTCGGCTGGATAAACAAGAGAAAACAGCCAGGCTCTTGGGACGATCACTCGACCAGGGCTCCAAGGACCCCTATTTCAACGTCGGAGATATTCCAACACCCAACTCTTGTCCAGAGGTTCTGGATTTCCCACTCTGTACCCAGAATCCCGACTCGTTCCCTTCTGGGTCCCAGGATTTTAGTACCCACTCCTTAAGGCCAAATCCCTCCTTCTAGTTTTTGGGGACTCCTCTGCGCAGCTGCTGGGACCCCAAGGAAGGGGAAACTGGAGGATCTACTGAGATCCCCAACCCCGGTCTCGTGCGCGGGCCTTCACTTTAGCTCAGAAACCAACCCCCGCCTCTGCAACCATCACCCTTTCAAGAACCGCGCCCTGCTATAGTCCCTAGGACCGCCTCGTACGCACCACTGCCTCTTCGGTGCCCAATCAACGGGCCCCGGTCGAAATATAAGTTTTACACAGGCTCCGCCCTCATGTGTCCCCGCCCCTTAACGTCTTCCGCTGCTTCCTTGAGCTGTCAGCAAACGCTTGTAATTGGATAGTTTATCAAGCTCCGCCCGCGGCCCCGCCCTGCAGGGTGTGCCCTTGGGCAGAGCTCGCCGCTTTTAATAGGCCGCTTCCGCAGGCTCCGCCCCTAACGCTACCGCTTCTCTGGTCTCTGGGCGACGCGTGCGGCGCTGTCCAGAGTGCTGAGGCCGCGTCAAGGGGAGACCTCGTGGCGTCCCCTACACTCCCTGCTGAGCGGCGCCAAAACCCTACAGCAGTTGCCACTGAACTTGATTGTACCCCACCTCCATCCCCCATTTTACCTCTGGTGATAGAAAAAGCTTTCTTCACTCCTCGCTCCTCTAAGAAACCCCCACTCTTCCATCTAGTTCAGGGGAAAGCCACAATTCTCACCGCAAACCAGAGGCTTTGCAGGCTCTCTCACTCTGATCTTTTGACCCTCATCTTCCGCTCCTTCTCTCACTCCTTCTAGCCATACTGCCCTCCCTGCTGCACTGCAAGTGATCTAGGCACATTCCGACCTCACCAGAACCTTTGCTCTCATTGTTCCCACTGCCTGAAATGCCCTCTCATTTGATGCCTCCCTCATATCCTTCGGGCCTTAACTCAAATCCCACCTTCTCAGTAGATCTGGTCTTGACCACCCTACTTAAATTGTCACCTCCCAACTCCTCTCTTTCCCTGATTTCTTTATTCCCAACACTCATAATCACCTGAGGCATGATGTATTTTACACATTTTTCTTGTTCACCCCTCCAGGGCATGGGTTTCTGTCTACTTGTTCACTGCTACGGTGCCAGCAGTGAGAAGTGTCTCACACAGAGTGGGGGTGCTCCATAATGTTTACTGCACATATACTCATGTGTGTATTTTGGCATTTACTGTGTACCTTCATAATGACCCTCTGCCTCAATTTAAAGATGAAGAAAATGAGACTCACAGAGTGGCCACCACCCGACTAAAGTCACTTGGTTTCTGAGTGGCAGAGCCTGAATCCCCGCCCCCCACCATGTTCCTCCTCTGGCTGTAACCCTTTCACCCCTGCACTGGGCCACAATCGCTACCACTGCCTTCTTCAGGAAAAGAAGCTGTATAAGAGGGTAGCTTCACAGGGCTCAGATAGGACTAGATTTCAATTCCTGTTCCTTGATTAGTAATCAAGTAACCATGAGTAAGTCAGTAAATATCTCTGCCTCGATTACTTTATTCATAAAATGGAGATAATAACAATACCTACCACATTGTACTGTGAGAGTCCAAATGAGGCAATGACAATGTATGGATTACCTGACACCTGGCACACAGTGGCACCTGCTCCATTAGTGTTGGCAGTATTAGCTCTTAATCATCTTCTTCTTCTTCTTCTTCTTCTTCTTCTTCTTCTTCTTCTTCTTCTTCTTCTTCTTTTTCTTCTTCTTCTTCTTCTTCTTCTTCTTTTATTATTAT